ATACCTCATGGTACGGTTTGAAACAGCATTAACACTCGATGTATCATACGTACCCCAAATACCTAAGAAATACCTCATGGTACGGTTTGAAACAGCATTAACACTCGATGTATCATACGTACCCCAAATGCCTAAGAAATACCTCATGGTACGGTTTGAAACAGCATTAACACTCGATGTATCATACGTACCCCAAATACCTAAGAAATACCTCATGGTACGGTTTGAAACAGCATTAACACTCGATGTATCATACGTACCCCAAATGCCTAAGAAATACCTCATGGTACGGTTTGAAACAGCATTAACACTCGATGTATCATACGTACCCCAAATGCCTAAGAAATACCTCATGGTACGGTTTGAAACAGCATTAACACTCGATGTATCATACGTACCCCAAATGCCTAAGAAATACCTCATGGTACGGTTTGAAACAGCATTAACACTCGATGTATCATACGTACCCCAAATACCTAAGAAATACCTCATGGTACGGTTTGAAACAGCATTAACACTCGATGTATCATACGTACCCCAAATGCCTAAGAAATACCTCATGGTACGGTTTGAAACAGCATTAACACTCGATGTATCATACGTACCCCAAATACCTAAGAAATACCTCATGGTACGGTTTGAAACAGCATTAACACTCGATGTATCATACGTACCCCAAATGCCTAAGAAATACCTCATGGTACGGTGTGAAACAGCATTAACACTCGATGTATCATACGTACCCAAAATACCTAAGAAATACCTCATGGTACGGTTTGAAACAGCGTTAACACTCGATGTATCATACGTACCCCAAATGCTGGAGTCGTAATCTAACACCGACCAGACCATAGAATCCCACAGCCTTGTTAACGTTTGATACGACATGTACCCTAAAAGTTTAGACTTTGCGATTAGTAACCTCAAAGCTCTGCTTGCCGAAATAGCAGCTGCTTTTGCCATGCGTGAATAGCCTAGGTGTTGCAATTGTCTAAAAGTTCAAAGAAATCTATACCAGATCTAAAAACTTCAGTTGTTCATGTAACAGGCGGTCCTCTAAAATCGATAATGTTGGACTTAGCTGCATTTACAGTCATTGCCAACACACCAACTTGTCAGACAGCCTAACATAAATTAAGGTTATTTTCAGATTCAGAAGAACATCATCTGCATAGGTGAGAATGCTAACCTTGCCATCATCAATTGGTACAACAAGTGACATTATATCAATAGCTTAAAGAAGGTCGTTGATTATTATGAATATTAAACATAAGAGGCGATAGCTCGATTATTTACAGACCGCCGTAATATATCTGGAATATTGCTGAGTGCGGCGTTAAACAACAAACAAACAAACAAATAATACAATACCTACTTGAAGACTTTGGTATAGACGAATGGTACACCACAGACCACAACATTCATCATTCATATCTTGCTGTATTTCATGGTTCTTTAAAGAACACTAAGACCTCGTTTAGCTTTTTCGAAGCATTCTCTGTGCCATTTGCCGATATGTCGGCAGCCATATTTGAGGTTTAGGAGGGGCGGTCGGGTAGCCTAGTGGTTAAAGCGTTCGCTCGTCAACCCGAAGACCCAGTTTCGATTCCCGACATGGGTACAATGTGTGAAGGCAATTTCTGGTGTCCACCGCCGTGTTATTCTCTGGCCTGGCTCGGTGTCTATATTGCAAGTTACCTCCCTTTGTTGGCAAAAGTCGCTGATCATGTGTTCATATCCCATCATTATACGTTAATCAATTCAGAGATGTAACTCTTAACTGCGAAATGCAGCGACCGTCTCCCTTATGGTATAAAATACTACTATTTCATAGAACGATATGATAAAGTTTGACGAAACTTTACAGAATAGCCACATTATGGTCCATAATATTGTTTATTTCACACTGTATATACATATATAAATGGGAGATCAATACAAACAAAGACAGGGAAACAAACAGGAGTTTTAAAGATAGGAAGGTAAACATGTAGCATTGTAATGAGAAAAAAACATCATACTGATTTCATAGATGCATTGGGAGATATTCGCTCACATTCGGTCAGTGACTCGTGCAAACTGAGCAGTCAATAACTTTTCAGCATTGTCACCCACGTGCACCAGGCATGCATTTTAATAGACATATAACTTTACAAATCTGTAATTGACTGCCAGTGGTAATATTACTCACTATTTTTCAAATTAAAGTACTGTAAAAGTATTTTGCGACTTCTGGTAAAAACGTAAAACGTCTCCCTTTGAACAAACTAGAAACAAGTGGGAAGTATAGGCATTGAGACATGTGTATTTCAACCTGTATAACACATGTACTAATATTCATTAGCTAGGCATAGCAAAGCAGTATAAATATAGAAACGGATTAATAAAATACATACTGTCTTAATCTACTATTGTAAAGAAACAACACATGTGTGCCAGGTTCATCTGATGGACAATATGAAAGTATGAAAGAAGACGTGGTTTCTACACTGCTAAATATTGAAATTGATCTGAATGTTACCGAATAGAAGATAATCTATATGATATGTGATAAAACCACAATTTATCCCCTGGATATTATGCAAACTAAACTGCCGGAAAAAGAAAAGCATATATTTGAAATTTGGTTTGACAAAAACCAAAAACAAATACAAACGATATCAAAACGTTACTAGGCTGAAAACAGTCGCCGAAAAACTGCAAATGATACCCGTTTCAAATACATCACCATCGAGTAACCATTTCTTGTTTGTTTCATTTTGGCCACCATCAAACATGGGTGTAAACTTTCTTTTGTCCGTCAGTTTAGTAACACAGACACATCCCCTCTGATTAAAAACGTAATGTTAAGGCATATTTGCATCTATTACACGAGGCGTTTCACAGACATAATTCCAATAAATAGTCGAAACCTATTGTCTTGAATACGGATGTGTCGAATTTCCTGTTGCACCGAACTCAAAGTCCTGTCCAGACAAATACATTCCAGAAGAAACTTATACTCCTAAGATGGTAAAAATGTCGAGTCGGATGTGTCGAACCACGGATACGCCGAACTATTTCTCTGGTCAAGGAATTCCAGACAAAGGTGTTCGACTTTGTGACGTCAATTTTGGTTAAATCCTTCAAAGTCAAGTCAAAATTAATTTAGTCCAAGAATCGTCATGAGCATACACGCAATACCATATTTTTAAAACGTACATATAGATCCATGTGGTTATGAAGAATATTGATAAATAGTTTTGATAAATACACTTTTGAGTACGAATATTTTGTTGAATATGACAGGTTTCGTGAGATGTCTTTGTTACACTGGGTATATCCTTGGCAAAGGCATAGCAGTTTGAGACACTTTTTTATTGAGCAAAAGTAAGTTTTATAGCATCTATAATGCATTACATCCTGATACGTACATATATATGCATTAATTGGTAACAAAAATAATTTTGTGGTAATCTTATATACATATATATTTGACAATAATAATAGGATTATCACAAAACATGACTGTACATTCAACTTTATACAATAAAGGATAAAGAAGGGAAACAGACAACAGCTAACTGCAAATCGTCTATCACAATAAATGCCAACGAAACAATAGTCTAACAAGTGAACAAAGCCAAGTGGTTTGTTTCCATATAAAATCTCAAACGTTTAAACAATAAAAGCGTATGTGCTTCAAATACACTACAATGCAAATATTGATGGTAATGAAGGACTTCAATGCAGAATAACTTCAAGGGTATGACGGCAGAGTGGTAACCTCCCTTTGACAGTGGTTCAATATGACGTAATCTTGAACATTGGGCAATGCAACGGTGAACAGATGTCTATATAAGCACCATACAGATTGTGTGTATTACTAAAGATGAAATATGACTAAAATTGATTTTTACTGATAGTTAATTAACAAATCATTGGAGTATGTGTGTTATTGTTTATTGTTCACACCTAATCCCACGACGGATGTACCAAACAAACCCACAATAACTTATTTTTGTATTTGTTTGTATTTTGTTTACCGACGCAATATTTCCGTTATTAGATGGTGACTTTTGAAATAACAAAATAAAATACCAGACCTCCATATATTCATTCCTTCTTTTCATAAAATATACTGCCGGCCAAAGAAAGTATACTCTTTACCCAAAACTTACAAACATTATCAAAACGTTACTAGCCTGGAAGCAATTGCAGAATGAACCACCATGATACCCGTATAAAATACATCACCATCGAGTAACCATTTCGACCATTTTAAGCCACCATTAACTGAGATGTATACTTTCGTTTGCCCGGAACTTTATATTTGTTGAAAAATTGAATGCAATTAATTCAGTATCGGCAAAAGCCGCGTAGAATATAAAGCATAAACTATTGAATTTTCCAAACATATACGTCTTCATTCAGTCCTGGAAATCTGGTGTTATTTGAGTTAGGTTGTCATGAAATATTGCTGTTATTATCATTGCGTAATTCTATAGCAGTAGTGTTATGTTTATCCTTTAAGTAACATTTGTAAACGCTATTTCTACTACGTTTTCTGTAATACGTGGTATTATTGTAATTCAGGTGGAATATTACACCTGTTTCAGCAGCAATTGTCATCAATATCAACCATCTTTAGAATGTCATCGGTTTGAACACATTCTAAGATTGACAAACAGGAGACCGAAACGATGACTATTCCAGCGAACTCTTCTTTCTAGATATTTAATACTACCTGATTACATTTTAACATCTAGATTTGTTATTGAAGAATGCTCAATTAAATTGTGTAAAAGTGATGCTTTGCACTGTCACATGGTTTTATTTGTAACTTGTGGATTAAACCAAAATTAATGAAGTAGCCATAAGCAAACTGAACTATTTTTGACTATCACTTGATGGTCATTATTCCTTTGCAAATCCTACTTTGCCAACTCGTTATGCTGGGAAACTTTCAACACAAAAAAAACAATGCCGGAATTCAGCCCCCCCCCCCCCCCCCCCCCCCCTTCAACAAAACCCAGACAATCAATTAAATTATCACTGTTGTATGATCTAATTTTGATTTCACGTCTCCAATTGTTTTTAGAAGTATGTTTCCCTTGCAATATCAATACCTTACGGCTTTGACTAAGAAATGTATACAGTCATATCTTGACCAATGTATCATGAGGTACATTGACAGTCAAACGACATCTGTTTCTCCGCACCTTATGACACGACAATCGTCTCAGTGTCCCTTTGGACCATCTTGCGCAATGCTTTTCTCCCCTCTGTTGGCCTGTTCTCCACCTGATGCCATTTGCCAAACCACTGTTTCTACTTTAGTCCTCTTCAGCTATCCATTCATATTTGATCATCCAGTGAGTAAATGTCACGGGATTTTATTTCCTTAGATAGTGCCACATGGCCACAGGTTTTCGTAGGGATGTCATCATTTGATTCCAGTGGGATAATTCCGTTCCTGAAGTGTTTGCTCCCACGATCACGTGGCCTAATGATGGCGTTCGATTGTCGGGGAGAAACTCAGCAACTGTTATTCGGAGCTGGACAGTCTGGAAGCAAACAAGCTTTACATTACATGTGCGTGCCATGTTTAACAACTATTTTCACATCCATCGAGTGAGAGAATTAACTATATCTCAAAGACTATCATACGACTCTTGCTCAAACGTTGTTTGGTCAAGGTTACGACATTCAAGGCCTTGGTAAAGCTTTCGAAACGTAACATTGGTAGACATGGAGAGGACATTTCCAAGTTAGACGAATCAACAATGATGTCCGATGCAAGTCCCTATTTTAACATTACCATATGTTTCCATGTTTTTTTACTTGCCTTTGCATGTGTTTGTGGGGGTGCCACCGGAGGGACATGGTACGTTCACCTTTTCGCGAACACCTGGTTACACCAGTTACATAACAACGTGTCACCTTGATGCGCGAGGTAAGATTTGTTTGTTTGTTCTTTAATGAAGCACTCAGCAATATTCCAGCCACATGACGGCGGTCTGTAAATCATCTAGGCTGGACCAGACAATACCATGAGTTATATCGAAACAAATAAATTGTCGAAGACAATACTTGAAAACAATACTTATGCTTCAGACTGTTGACAAGACACAAATTGTCTGCTACAAAAAATAAATAAAAAATACATTGTTGCAAGGTGATTTTTTTGTTTTGAAAATAAGTCATTTTGGGCCCCACCACCATCACCAATATCAAATGGCAGAAGGAATGCAGATTTTCAATTGCTGTTTGTGAAACCTACGCGCACGGGTATGGTGCTCAGAAACCTAGAAGGGGCGGTCGGGTAGCCTAGTGGTTAAAGCGTTCGCTCGTCACGCTGAAGACCCGGGTTCGATTCCCGACATGGGTACAATGTGTGAAGCCCATTTTTGGTGTCCCCCGCCGTGATATTGCTGGAATATTGCTAAAAGCGGCGTAAAACCATACTCACTCACTCAGTCAGAAACCTAGAAACATATTCGGCGAATCTAGGATACGAAAGCACTCTGATAGTTTTCTGGCACGGCAAAAGGGAAAAAAGTCTACATGCATGTAGCTAATTGCGGTGTTATTGTTTTGTTTGAAATGTGTTCCAGAATATGAAGATGTTTCTCTTTTAGACCATCCTGGTTAGCCACTATATAAATGGGCCTTAGGTTGCCTTGTGTTTGACGTATTCTTATGTCGTTGTGTTCGAATGCCAACATGGATCACCCATGAAGACTATTCGTGGTGTCTCTACCATATTATAGTCTGATTGTTTACTAAAATAAACATACAATACTAATTATTAATTCACTTGAACAATTATGCAGTTAAAAAGATAGATTCAAGCTTTAAATTATCACAATAACACCACGATCATTTTAGTCGCTGTCTCAAAACCAAATGAAACAGACAGTGTAACGATATTCATGCGATGTCAATGCATAAAAAAATCGAAGCTTCAAAATAATATAATTATATAAAAAAAATTATTTTCAAAGATCCGATAACGGAAAGAACATAAACGCTGTCCATAGATTTTATTGTGGCAAAGTACTTTTCGTTGCTGTGAAAATCATTTAATAAAATTGTCGTTAAGAGGCTGGTAAGCTTGGTATTTAAAAAACAAGATAGGGTTAGGGTTAGAAGTGTGTGTTTGAATGAGAAGACAGATACTGACCGGTAAAGCAGTGGAAGGTACTGAGAAAATCATGGCCTCGTTGAATATAGGGTTTTTCTCTCCTCGTTTCACAGTCGTCTTCTTCTTGGAGATCTTCTTGCCATTCTGCATCAGATATACCTTCACGAAAGGATCTGAAATACGAAATTATAAGTGAAATAGTTTTATATTGGTATTCTGGTTTTGATTTGGTTTGATTTGGTTTGTTGTTTAACGCCGCACTCAGCAATATTCCAGCTATATGACGGCGGTCTGTAAAAAATCAAGTCTGGACCAGACAATCCAGTGATTGATATGAGCATCGATCCACGCAATTTGGATTGATGACATGCATCAACCAAGTTAGCGAGCCTGACCACCCGATCCCGTTAGTCGCCTTTTACGACAAGCATAGTCGCCTTTTACGGCAAGCATGGGTTGCTGAAGACCTATTCTACCCCGGATCTTCACGGGTCTTCAGGTTGAGATCTTAGTTTAAATAGGTTAAAGGCTGTTGTTTAGTGGTCAAAGTGTCATTTAGCAACCACATAAGAAAGACACAAAAGGAATTGAATCCATTCCTTAAAACGATCATAACTCAACGATTCCCCTCAGTCCTATATTGGAACGTGGATTTACCATAGATCGTATTATGCATCGGCGCCCTGATTTCATAGTGTAGTTCATGTTCCACTGACATAGTATAGATATAGCAATGCTTGATACATGCTATCATTATATCAGACCAAATGGGCAAAAGTAATTACATAATTGTTTATATGAAGAACTTCCAGACGTTTTTTCGTCCATGTTAATCATTATTTGGCGAGAGTCATTAGGGAATATCAGGGCTATAACGTTATATGTGGGACTAGGAGACAGGTATAAATCTTGGTCTTATGTCGAGAACGCAGACAGCATGTAATAACGCACACAATGTCCCCATTGTGCTCACATCATATACCCTGACCATACCAACAGCCGACTGGGAGCAGGAGTGGCCCAGTCGTCTAAGACGTCGCGATTCGCTGTGCAGAGTAGTGTCCCTTGGGCACGCTGGAAACCTATGATTATGAGTTCGAATCCCGGTTCGCCCCCAATTATGTTTCTTGGTTTGTCAGCACCATACCCGTGCTCGTGGGTTTCACCGAAGTGGTAAACGTCTGAGACCTACATCACTTCGGGCTTTCCTCCCACATGAAGCTGACACGCCGAGATATGACTGGAATACTGTTAAAAGCGGCGTTAAACCCAACTCACTCACACTCACCAACAGCCGACATCTTAGACTGAGGAAGGAAACGCATAGCTATGTTACAGAATATAGTTTACATATGTCCAAATATGTTCATTAAAGATAATGTTTACATAACACAAACCAATCAAAAGACATTTTAATATCCGCATCTGATGCATTTGCTTCATTGTGAAACCGTACATGGGTCACTAGTATTAGAATGCTAATGCCATACTCATGCCTTCCTATATCACCGTTCCCTCCTCTGTCTATCTGTACGTGTAGGTCAGTAAAGAGGGCCTATACTACGAAAGGGACTTTGTGCCAAAAGCTGATTGAAAAAACATTATTACATGGGATTCGAACCCCGGAAATCTTCACTTTTCACTTCGTATGAATACTATTTTAAAAAGCTATAAAGACCTAAATTCTAAAATAACATTCGTCATGATATTAATATCTTATCTAATATTTATGCGTCTTTGATTTAATTGATTCGTATCATCATTATGCAAACATGGCGCAGTTATTCATCATTGATGCATGAGGTCATCATTGCGTCATATCATTCCAGAATGACGTCATACATGTATTACAGTTGAGAAATTAGAAAGAAATTGTTACGGAAAATTAGAGATATCTTTTTGTATTAACAACTTCAATAAGCAATTTATGTATTTTCAGATTTGATGGCACAAGTCATTAGTAACTGAATATACTTACAATATATTTGTACAGAAGACTTTGTAAAAGAAAGAATGACATGAATGGGCAGGTTACTGTTGGATCACTTGACCTTGACGTATGCTACAAGTTCAGGTTTCATGGGGGCGGTCGGGTAGCCTAGTGGTTAAAGCGTTCGCTCGTCACGCTGAAGACCCGGGTTCGAATCCCGACATGGGTACAATGTGTGAATCCCATTTCTGGTGTCCCCCGCCGTGATAATGCTGGAATATTGCTAAAAGCGGCGTAAAACCAAACTCACTCACTCACTCAGTCAGGTTTCAAGCGACCATTGGCCACGTTGCACAAGAGTTCTTTGCTTTAACAGAGGCTCTCGATAGTCGTGGCGCTAAGATGGCTTTGTGCAACGGGGCCCATCACTGTACAGTGTACAGTTTGGCGTGCTCGTGCTTCCCATCAAGAGGTCAAGTTGTCTCACCTCCGCTGTCCTTGTGCTCTCTCCACTTGAGGTTCCTGGCCTTCACGATGACAATGGTCAGCCGCTCGGCGGTTGGCAGGTAGCTCAGCGAGAACAGGATGTCACCGTACTCAGTTGGTTTCTAGTGGAACATGTTCATTGTAAGATTTCTCTTGTAGTTACATTGCAGATTTCTTATCCAAAACCATGGGGTCGAGATTTTAGGATAAAATATAATACTTATTCTTCAAGTGATATCCATATACTGCCAGATCATATTATCATCGAAATCTTTACTTGTGTCATTGTTAAAACAGCTGTTGTTTATTTTGGTTCTATTAGCCCCTCACTTGTACCTTTATATTCAAATAAAGTACTGACCCTCCTCCCAAATCTTTTACATATCTGACAGAACATATACTAGTCAACGTTTGATAGGGATAGCTTGACATATCATTCTATATTAATATACACTTGACATATTATGTGAATCAGTTTTGTGTAACACGGAAAGGAAACAATATCCCTATCAAAATAGGAGTGGTATATTTTCATCTGTACTTTTGGTTTATCATTAAAACAGCTTTTTGTTGCCTCCTTTAGCAAACGCCGCTGGTATCACATGTACGTGTATCATGTGTATCATAAAGTATAGTTTTCAAAATTAGTTAAAGAACACTCGATTCGTTCATACTACTATATAAGAATCGAGTGTTCTTTAACTTATTTTGAGCAGTATATATCTAATCAAATAAGGGACAATATCATAGTTCAATTATATTATGATAAATACCCTGGACTCTTCGCTGCTACAGATTTGTTTTGAACCAAACATATTCTCATGAGCATGGGAAATTCTGTGCTAAGTTAGAGATTGGAACAATGTCTCCTGATGAAGGAGTAAGTATATACTCCGAAACGTTGTGTTCCTCATATTTAAAGAAGTTGACATCCATAAATTATCTTCCTTATGGAACAATGGAGTTGTGACGTCACTTCTGAAAGGGATCTATGGTGATGAATGAGTCCATAACGTGGCCTCTTGTTTCATTACATGTAATTTATATGTAGACGTGATACCAGTGTAATACCCTAAAATTGAGCACGACAATAGACAATGATCAACAGATTCTTTCCCGATGGCCCTCTTCCACTTGTAGCATCGACTCAATTCAGAACTAAATATTAGAAAAAGTAAAAACTCAATAATGACCTTATCAATGGGATAAACAGAACATGAATATCATCAGAAGCGGTATTTGCTAACCTCTTCAGCAATATCTCTGAGATTGAGCCACATCTTGATGGGCATATTGAGGTCGACGTCCCCGACTCGGATATCTGCCTCTCCTATCACCTTCTGACGGGCATATTTGTCCACTGCATACACCTGGAACTGTAGCATCCTTCTGTCCAGATGTTCCGATTCTATGGTGAACAGATAGCGCTCCTTGTACACGGGGTCTGTAGAGTGTTTAATGGTCTGGAACAGATAGAACAGATGTCCACACACAGTGTGACTCGACATACAAAATGCATAAGATATTGTGTTCATATGCATTATCGATTGTGTAAATGAACCATCAGAAGTAAATTCATACTATTTGTTACTTGTTTCAGTTGTAAATATAAATTGTCAGTGCAAGTAAATAACAAGCCTATATGTTCTGCCGAAAGATACCGCTTGGCGTAAAGGGCAAATAGCTGTTAAAAGAATATAAATGGGCCACAGAAGAACAGTGATGAAACAAGGTGTTCGCGAAAAGGGTAAGCATGTCCTGCCCTACCGGCAGCATCCGCCATTCATACAATTTTCATGGTAAATCCATTTTCCAATAAACCGGAACTGGATACGACATCGTATGAGTGCTATAACAATATTACAGAGTCACTCATCAATTACTCACTGCAAAAATAGTGTTAAACACCAATGCTATGCAGGATGGCTTCGGTATGTTGGTTTACGCCGCAATTAGCAATATTCCAGACATATAACAGCGGCCTTTTCATAATGAAACCAGTGGTTGATATTATGAGCAACGTCCAGTGCAGTCAACCACGTCACAGAGCTTGTCCACCCAGTCGCATTCAGTAGCCTCTAACGACCCGGGGCCAGGGGGTAGCCTAGTGGTTAAAGCGTTCGCTCGTCACGCCGAATACCCGGTTTCGATTTCCCGCATGTGTGAAGTCCATGTCTGGTGGGCCCCGCTGTAATATTGCTGGAATATTGCTAAAATCGGCGTACAACTTTACTCACTCACTCACTTTACTCACTTACGACCATCATAGATGTTGTAGGCGACCTAAATGTGCGTTTCCCGATCCCAACGGGGAAGGTGAGGTGAGGTGAGGTGAGGTATAGCGATGTGCATGCACGTGTGTGTGTGTGTGTGTGTGTGTGTGGCTGCTTGTACTAGTCCGGACTGATGCCGACACTCAGACACAGTATACTGACTCCGAGCCGACCAGTCCTTGTTTTAGCCACTTAATGCCGAGCGCCAGACAGGGTAACAACAAGTACCATCTTTTAACGTATTTTGGTATGACGCGGCCGGGGATTGAACCCCGGACCTTCCGCTCTCCGGGCGGACGCTCTGCCACTAGACCACGGAGTCGGTCCCAACGGGGAAGGCATTCTGGCGGACCAGATTACTTGTTTTTGAGAACCTAATCAGGCTGTTTCACAAGATACACAATGAGATGGCGATTATGGTGTGGAGCGTTTAGCAGCATTGATTTTGAAATCCCTATCTCCAACATATGTGGGAAGAAAACCGATCAGTAAACATGATGAAGAAATTTTGTAAAAATTCCTCAGAATACCATAACACCAGACTCCTTCAAATTGGACACGAAAATCCGCGCCTTATGACACTAACTTACAGAATGACTGCTATTATTATTCAATACGGAACCATGTATTCAAATCACACCGACGGCGCGAGTTTCAATCAGCTTAACCGACAGTCGAGCTTGCCTGGTTCGTATCACAACCAAACAAGGCGTCTATCGTCGTGTCCATCGCGCGTTTATTGATTACTACACATTTCTTTCCACTGGCAATTGGGTCTGTTTTAGAGCGGTAACTCTTCAGATATTGAAGGAAATAAAGAACATATTGATTTATGCTCTGTTAACGGGTATTGCAGTCTCGTCGTGTCAGAATAAAATGTTTAGAAATACTTTTGCATCTTTGATGATGCCGTTTATTGTTCATTGTTTATTGTTATTGACATTTCACGATTTGTATTTCCATAATAACAAAGCGACGAAAATAGGAAGCTCGAGCGTATTATACGCAATACCTTATTGTACTTGATTATTCAGGAGAAATGCGTCATGGCTGTTAGTGTTATGTGGCGCTTATCATTCGGTGATTCATTGTATTGATAGCGAACACACAATCGTGTTTTGACCGATCATACACAGATGATGCAAGACACGCTTAACTTGGTGACCATTGATATATTGTTACATCTTTAGAGGTTCGGGACAATTTTTCAAAAATGAAAGCAAACGCATCCGAGAAAACAATATGTGATATGGTGGACCTCAATAACATCTTTGTGAAATTTCGGTAGGCAAGAAGTAAACATCCCCATGGGCACCAATTGTGTCCCCTACTTTCTCATGTGTTTCGTTATGCATATGGATCTGAATTGATGCTAGAATTGGTAAAATCAAAAATGGGACTTTGGCCAAGACGTTTAACGTCAGGTTCAGTTATGAATGATCAGATATTATTCAAAAATGGTCAAATTAGCAATTCCCTTTTACTGATTTACCCGTTTATTTTGTCATATGTTCATGTTTTTTTCAGGTTACGAATTGACTTGCCCCTGCATGTGTTTGTGCCAGCGGCGGGCAGGATACGCTAACCTTCTCGCGAACACCTAGTGTCTCCACTATTCGATAGTGATTCATAAACACGTGCTTGTGATATAGTCGGATTCGTAAATGGACTTTTTGTAGAACTGTCTTAGAATTATTGAAAAACGTATGTGTTGTTATTGAAATGTACTTCTTGTGAATATTATTAACTGAAACCGACAAAACTCACTTCTTGACCAAAACAACACAATTTGAAAATAATGGCTTCTTGTAGCGAATCTGGAAACATACAAACGGGACAATTATGAAGACCAGCCAGTCGCTTTGATTCCCGATCACATGAGATTGATGGTTTTATTTTGTTGTTAGGTTTAACGTGGAAGCTATTAAGGAACAGTTTCTCTGCCATTTAAATTCCTGGTGAAAATACTCGACCATTTGCCTTCTTCTACGTAGAAAATGTAAAAAACTACTCAAAAGAAGTTAATTGACACCCGCTTTTTTCATATAACAGATTAACCATAGTCATATGAAAAGATCGGGTGTTCTTTGTCTTCTTTTGAGTAATATATTTCTTTGTGTATCCATGCGATCTCGCTTCAGAATAAATATAAGATAATTCCGACTCATCTCGAGAACACTTTTCCCTCGGGAAATAGACATTCATACATGCATGTTTGTTTTACATAAAGTTTATTGATGATGCTGTGGGTTAGAATATTTATACTCGCCTAGAACAATCTTTGAGGCATTATGTAGCAACTGTTGTCTCTGAGCTGAACGTTATACCAACATATCCCACATATGAAGTTGAGTTTGTCTTCCGAAAACAGTACTCAGTTATATCAGGTGTGTCAGCTTTAAGTAGGGCGTACGTCCAACGACAAGAATATCGTTGACATACACCATATTGACTGCATTGGTGATGACAAACTAATGGTCATAATTAAGCGATTCTGGGAATTGAAATCACAAGCGGGCCTGTTCACGGATAATGATTGTTTGTTTGGGGTTTTTTGTTTAACGCCTCACTCAGCAATATTCCGGCTAAATGACATCGGTCTATAAATAATCAGGTCTGGATCAGATAATCCAGTTAACATTATAAGCATCTATCCACGCAAGTAGGATACGATGACATGCATCAACCAAATCAGCGAGCCTGACCACCGGATCCCGTTGGTCGCCTCTTACGGCAAACATAGTCCTTTTACGGCAAGCATGGGTTGCTGAAGACCTATTCCCACCCGGATCTTCACGGGTATGACGTGGGAGGGTAGCTCACAGTGATGCCGGTGAGAGGTGTTTTCCGCTTTGATGATATACACACCCACCTGGCGCTGACAAGCCAAGTATCATAATCAGGGCGACTCGGGCTTCGAACGCATGAAGTTTAGAACCCCTGACATTTCATTTAATGTACATTTGGAATCGTCGGGACTATGTTATATTTGACCTTCATGTGAGTGATTTCAAGTTTTTTCGGAAAACGAGTCGACAGTGGGGTTCGAACCCACATCGTATAATACGTATGATAGTTGATCTCTCGACTGCGGTGACACGTGACAAAACGTTGTGAAAAGAAACTCCGTAAAAGCTTAGAAAATAGTATGACTGATGCCACCGGTGGGGCGGGATACACACACCTTGTCGAGCACACCTGGTATCATAACTATTTGATAGGGATTCATAAACACATGCTCATGATACAACCGGAATCGTAAATCGACAAATCACCTCAGCAAAGATTTCTTGTGGTGGATTTGTAAAGGGTTTAGTCCAAATTAAGGTAATAAGATGACCCTTTGATGACAAAGAAAACAGAAGAATTATAAATGACTTGCTCAAGGTTCTATTTTCTTGTTAACCATGTCAGCATTTACTGAAAACGTACTACCGATTGATAAAATAATGTTTTGGACTCTGTTAAATATTATTGCACAGTTCATCCCACGACGGCTGTTGAAGCACGCGCACCATGATCAACACACCAACACATCTCTCTCGTGCTACAAAGAGCTCTGGTTTTACTATGCTCCACAATGAAAGTTAAGTCAAAAGTAAGCATGCATTTGAAGTTTGAGAGCAAGTAGGGACGTGTTTTATGTCAGAGAGCGCACGAGTAACTGTGGACAAGAATCACGTCCAAGGGCTCTGCGGTTCTTCTTCATGAACCGACTGTTACTAGTCTCCTTAACATAACACTACTTGGCGTCAAGAAATGGCTTAATAACCTTACAGGCCCCGTGGCTAGACATACCTTTGTCTGGAACTTTGCCCCGGAGTCAGGAAGCAACACTCCACGGATGTAGGTGTCCAGAGTCCCAGAGTACTGGTTGGCAGCCAGATCCCGACATTGGATGATGCTGATAATCAGCTCCGAGACTTCTCTTTAGAAAAGAAAACGATCAGGTTATTTGTTGGAAAGTTTATAAAGATGGGTTTTTTTTGTCATCGCGCTGGTAATAGAAAACATTTTAATCGAGCTTTTCCCCGAAAAATCTATAAGTTTGTTTTTAATGTACAAAATCAAATTTTCCGAATGTTTTTAAATATTAGTACGATGGAATACACGGATGGGATGTCTGAAGGTTTTTCTCGATTGTGTCATTCGAGCGTTGAGAAATAACTGTAAAGCAATTGAGAAACTTTTTGAAAAACGTGCGTCAATGGGAATTGAATCTGGAAAAATCGAGAATTACCTAGGGCGTATGAACAAGTGTTGTTGAAGGGAGAACAAGTTTGATATCTTGCAGATACATTATCGAACATTGTGGAAAAGGTGTTAGTCGATAAACACGATTTCTCAGCTACGTGGACGTGAATTTGATTTTTTGATCTGTTGCAACTGCCATTCCTTGTCATCAAATACTGAATAAAATGACGTTTTTTTAAAATGGAGAAATGATATTACTATACGGATCTGTGAGTATTTTGCCTTTAAGAAACCGATTCTCTTTTGGATTCCTCGGAGAATTACATAGTGTTCCATGATTCTTGGTGTGGGACATGTGGTCTGCTTTAAGGTGAGGTGAGGTGAAATTGGGCTTAACGTCGCGTCCAAGATTATTGCACTTATATAGCAACGTGCATGCACGTGTGTGTGTGTGTGGCTGCTTGTACTAGTCCGGACTGATGCCGATTTATAGTGCCAGCTCACTGAGATATCATGCCGCAGTTTAACATGAATATCCCACTCAGACACAGTGTACTGACTCCGAGTCGACCAGTCCTTGTTTTAGCCCCTTAATACCGAGCGCCAGACAGGGTAACAATAAGTACCATCTTTTAACGTCTTTTGGTATGACGCGGCCGGGGATTGAACCCCGGACCTTCCGCTCTCCGGGCGGACGCTCTACCACTAGACCACGGAGGCGGACTGAAAATAATATGAAAGGATCCTTGAGAATCAGTGATGCCGTCAGGTATTCGCGAAAGAGTAAGCACATCCTGCTGTACCGGTATCACCCGCCACTCACACAATTTGCATAGAAAAATAAATGTTTTTCGGTGTTTGTTGCCGAACGCCGAGTCACGGGTATATCTCTTGTCTACGCGGTGCAATTCGCCTTGCAGAGTTGCATCCCTTAGGCATGCCTGAAACCTATGATCGTGAGTTCGAACCCTAGTTCGCCCCGATTATGTTTCTAGGGTTGTCAGTACCATACCCGTGTATGAGTTTCACCGAAGTGGTAAACGTCTGAGACCTGCATCACTTCGGGCTTTCCTCCCACATTAAGCTGACACGCCTTGTCGAACTGGAATACTGTGAAAGGTGGCGTTAAACCCAACTCACTTACTCAAAAAGCAAAACTCCAGCCACACACGACAATCGGCCAGTCTGCAAACCAACTATGGAATGAACGATGCATGAAATCAATGGAGCCTTTCAGCTCGCCGACCATATCAACCATGCACATCTCAAGATCCGATACTTGGGATAAATACGTAATCTGTGATTGATATGTCGCCCATTTCACTCCGCCGCGCCCTTTAGCATTATTCAAACGACTGGTGTAAGTTTGCGAACAAGAACCTTCTCTCGCCGCCCGCGTCAAATCAATCTCAACACTTAAACAGTGTAAGGTTAACGTGGAGCTTACAGTGTCGTAGAGGGGACGTTGATGTCTAGAACACTCTCACACGTCAATATTGGGCCACCATCACGGCAGCTGTAAATGTATTTATGCTCTCTGCCTACACGATTGTTAAGTAATCGTTGTGAATACATGTGCCAGGAGGGTAATACGACCTTATTTCTACATCAAGTTGCAAATCGTTTTTTCACTCACTCTATCTGTTTTATAAGAAATCGATAACAAAAAGCAGCTTGTGTGTCAAGGCGAGATTACACTGGAAACAGTATCTTTGCTATTATGCATGTCTAGACGTGAAGCGCTGGTTGGGCACGCAAACAAACGAGGTGTCCCTCAGTTGATGGACACACACGGAACTATCAAGGGTCATTGGTGTCTGGACCAACAAGGCCCTTTTCGAATTAACCTGGAAGAACCACCTATACACGCCAGACTAAAATCATCATGATAGAAGAACGATATGTGTAGATTGTGTTACAATAGTCTTATACCTGTCGTATTCCAGGGCAAACTCCAGCTGGCCAATTTTTGGCATATCCGGCTGCATTTCCAGGACAGATGAATCGGATGCGACGCTCTCACAGGACTCTGCTCGGCGTATACCGGCATGGGTGAAGTCAAGATCTGATGCTGGAATCACAGAACGCATACATGAATAGGTGAACCCAATCTCATTAAAATCAGATCTTAGTTCTCGCTACCGCTAAACAAAGATCTGAGGACACTCCATTATGGGTCACGTCAGACCGACCTTGTGCGAACTTTGACGACCAATGGAATGACTGACAAGAAGTCGACATTAGCCATTCAGAAGGCAGCTTTCTCGTGCTTTACGGCACTAATTTCAAATTGGCGACTACGCTTCGAAACGTATTTTGACAAATTCTCCATTAAAAATGTGAAACCTGAACAAAAGAACATTCTGGAATGGCTAATAGAGAGTCTAGATTGTATGGATTCAGTCATTTTTCGAGGATGCATGATTCGAAATCACATTCCGACTGTCACTTTCATGATCTGGTAAAGCGACGCTCTGATTGGTCGGATGTGAGGTCGTTCTAACGTGACCCCTAATGGGATGTCCTCAGATCTTTGCATTTGTTTAGCGGTTGCGAGAACTAAGGTCTGATTTTAATGAGATTGAGGTGAACCTTGCACAGGGCACACCTCAAGGACATATTCAGATTTGGGAATAATATTTAATCCAGTCGATTTGAGTAGGCAATGCAATATAATACAAAACGTTAACGCTGGAAATAATCAATCTCGATTAACATGCCGAAACAGATTCCATTGGGCGTCTTTTTACTAGGCAAAATTGAGATGAATACTATAGGAATGGATCACTGAAAATCAGTGATGACGGCAGGTGTTGATACAAGGCACCCCACGCATTGGCCATGTCAATTAGTAATCGACCTTGGTTGTTCTCCAGTATAGGAAGGGGCGGTCGGGTAGCCAAGTGGTTAAGGCGTTCACACGTCACGCTGAAGACCCGGGTTCGATTCCCGACATGGGTACAATGTGTGAAGCCCATTTCTGGTGTCCCCCGCCGTGATAGTGCTGGAATATTGCTAAAAGCGGCGTAAAGCCATACTCACTCACTCACTCCAGTATATGAAACAAGATTGTTAAATGTCACCTTTCATGTCATATCCTATGTCAATCATCGTCCCTTTGGTTCATATTGGTTATGATAACAACTAATTATGATAACGTCGATTGTAGTGAAACCGATACGACTCCCACAGGAGGTGCAATTGCTGTGATTGACGTCAAGAGCTGTTTCCGGCTATGGAGTGACGTATTATCATTACGTTGTTGTGAATGAAGTCTAAGTGTATCTGAGTATCATTTTACCCAAATTAGTATCCGGCATTTGATATAACCGACACGCTTAGGTCTGTTTGAAGTGTGAATGTATGCGTGTCGGGGTTTGTGGGACGTGTGTACTTTACTCTGTTCATGTCGTTTAATACTGAGAATGAATGAATAAGTGAATGACTGATCGATTTGTTCTCCATTGGTTTCGGAGAGAGCAAATATAAATATAAATATGATACATATTTAGACATTATATCAATACACAGAAGACTGAAAGAAAATTATGAAAATATGACATGTCAATATTTTTTGTTCCAGCTACATCACCCCAGCGTTTCCCTGCTCAAAGAGAGTGGGTGAGTATAGTTTTACGCCGCTTTCAGCAATATTCCAGCAATAACACGACGGGGGCTCCAGAAATGGACTTCACGCATTGTACCCAAGTGGGGAAACGAACCCGGGCCTTCAGCGTGACGAACAAACACTATACACGAGGCTACCCCACCGCCCTCGAAGTGTGAGCGTATGTGTGTCAGACTTTGTGGGATGGTGGTGTGTGTTTATTTTTCTGTCTGTTCATGTCGTTTGATAACTTAGATAGTTCTGAGCTAAGATGAATTGTATTCATCAATCTCCATGGTTAAGGTTTACTTCTTGTTTTTAAATGTTAATTGAGGCGATAAATTAAAAAAATATAAACTTAAATTTTCCTTCATAACTTCAATAATTGTGAATTAGCGTGATGATTTAGTACCTAATGCATTACATTTACAGTAAAATACATTTAAAAAGAACACTCTTATAACGAACTGACGGATATTACGAACTGGAGTTTTGGTCTCGGCCATTTGCTGTATAGATGTTGTACATATGCTTATAACTAACTACGGTTATAACGAACTAAAATAAGTGGTCCATTTGAGTTCGTTATATCGTAGTTTACTGTATGTTATTGGGACATACATATCCTTGTGATTTTTCTCCGAGAATTTTCAATAGAAATGCTACTTTCAATATTCGAAATGAAATCTCGCGGGGTGCGATCCATTACAAAGCTGAAGCTATTTTGGAAATATAGGTGACTAATAATGGTGGTCAAGCAACTTATGGATATTTAATATACCATGCTTGAACCCTAGCAATATCCACTTACGTGCCAGGCAACATAGTTAACCACATGGACCCCTCTGTTATTGGCCTTCAGAGATTGCGTTGACTATGCAGATTATTGTCTATTGCCCATCAGACCCTGAATAATCCAATCTGTTTCGGGGACAATAACTAATGAGTCATCTAATATTTATCTCCCAGTAAGGTGTAAGGTTTGTGGTGTTAATGGTGTGACCCTGGAAGAAATTGATCAAGTTGTACGTAACGTATGGCAGAATGCCTTCTGTCTGTTGTGGTTGACTATGAATTCCCTTGGGGATGAATAACGGCAAACTGGCTGATTATCACCATTATCATTGATGAAATAGTATATTTATATATTGACGTGAATGTTCTGTTAAAGATATTAGGTTAAAATTCTTACATTGCGTGTAGTACAGTTTATGGTAATAACGTATAGCCCTTGCTGTTTGTACATCAAGTGTTGATGGCTGTAACTGACGCCATTCTATCGTACCACTGGTCTCCAACACATAAATATCATGGAAGGTTGCCAAATAAGCAGCGTTCCGAAGCCTGCAATGGATGTGGTGGGATTGTAATTTATCGATTCCGTTTGACCCAGTGACTATAGTCATTACGATATACAAGGCGATAAAATCTATTGCCAAGGTCAGTCATGACGTAACTGACGCATTGTTAGAGGTAATATCAATGCTTGGGTACATGCACTACATGTATATGTACGTGTCGGTTTGAATCATTGGTGTTCTCAATAATAATCGCATTTACATTGGGAAAAACGACAGAAAGGTATGCCCGTTGTCTTCTCTGTACATATGACGTTAATTATTCAATGACCTTCCATCAATTGATTAATTTCTTCTCTCCTGGTATATGTATAACATAAAATGAACAATATGCATTGTGCATACTGATGAGGAAACTCATTTGTTGATAGGTGTTATGTTTGAATACAAATCCATCGACAGAACACATAAAATTGATGATTTGTTTTCTACAAATATTTTCTGAAGAAGGAAACGTAATATGACATGGTGATGCTGGACTGACATCTACAATATCCAAGGCCATGAGATAAGGACGGAATGTCCTTGTGGGTGATGCAACATGCAACTTACTGACGGAGCTCGTCCCGACGGATACCGGGCTGGTCCTGTCAACACTTTCCTGCTTGGCAACCTTGCCCGCTTCGAGGTTGAGGTACTTCGGGTCCGAATTGAGCGTGTCATACTGTACAAACTTCCCACTCGTGTCCAGAACGAACTCAGCGCTTTCGGAATGGTTCACCTGCCAACGGAGAAAACAAATACTGTAACAGTCCCCCATCCTTGAAGATGTAGTCTTACTGCTACTTTGATCAATTCATGCGAAGGACTTGGAGGTGTTTGTGTCCTTGGGGAGTTGAGTTGATCCCTTCTGCAGCAAGAAGGCCGAATCTAGGATGCATTGCATAAGCGATCCCAAAACGATACAACTCTGTTAATTAAGATTGTGTACTCTGGGGATCTGTGCCGTCACGGAACACAGCAAAAGTGACCCCCTATTGCAGCGTAGGCATCGGTAGAGATCACACGGGATTACCAGACAGGGGAGTTTCCAATAATGAGATATTTCGTAATGGGACGTGTGTTGATCTAGAGCCAAGTTCCAGCTAGTGGTACGTATGTCTGCAGTGATGTGTTTGCAGATATGCATGCATCCTTACCACTCAAAAACATAGTACATGTTAGTTGGAACCACTGGGGTAAATGACGAGAATAGCCCGGTTATCGGTTCAACGATATTGATTTGCTCTTTAAATGGGCCAATGAGGGGATGTTTAGTTAAGGAGTTTTTTTATCCTATGCATCTACATGAACAAAACAAATCACTGCATGCCGACAACCGCATATCCTTAGGGTCGGTATAGGCATATGCATAAATGGGCCATTGACAAAAATGTGGTATATATCAAAACAGGTTACTCGTCGTTAATGTACATTGATAATGTTGCAATTTGTCGAGTCGAGGCGTCCGCGCAATATTGAGAGAACTCTAATTACACGCTGTTTGGTCATACATTAATTGTCTTCTTTTATACAAAAGCCTTTCAAAACTATCTGTACCCAGTGAAAACTGACCGAGCCTGTTCGTGTGACCTTTCAGACAGTGTCCAGCTTTCTTCAAGACACATCACTGAACCTCTCTTGGGAAGTACATCCTCAAGCAGATTGTATGTGGGAAGTAAACATTAGTCCTATTTTCTCTCTAAGTACGGTTTAAAAGCCCAGGTACCCTGGAGCATTTAAACAAATAGCATCAACTTGTTCATCACAGAACACAGATCAACTTTCATGGATTAACACAGACAGCTCTTGTGTCTTGTATCAATCAATACAGAGACATCAATCTTTAATGCTGCCATAACTGTGTACATATTAAACTGACATAATAGGTAAACATTAAAAACAAATGTTTTTCATGTCTATATTTGAATACCAAGATGACAAGGGGAAAAATATTAGATAAATTTGTAGATCATATATGATGCAAGAAGACATGCAACACTTGTGTTCAGAATACTGTTCATGAATAAAGTGTTGCTATTTTCTCCAGTTATCCTGTTAAGATGAGTTTTGTGCTTCAGTTTGACAAGCGACAACGGTATGTTCACGTACATTATGATGTGATTCAGGGACCAGACTATTGTATAATATTTTTGTTATGGATATTTAAGGTCAACTAAGATAATCAGTTATTGTTTGTTACTGGCGGCGGGGTAGCATAGAGTCTCGGGGTTCGATTGGAACGGACGATAATATGAAGCACATCTTTTGTATCCCCACCATTTTCATGGTGGAATATTTGCTGACCTTACATTTCATTACCTATCAGGATAGATAAAGTGTCTACCATGCTCACTGAATGGTAAATAACAGCAACTATCATTGACACTGTGGATACAAAATGATTATGGTCCATCGATCATATAGCCATATCTCACCATATAGCCATATCTCACCATATAGCCATATCTCACCATATAGCCATTTCCCTGCTCGTTCTTTGTCAGCACCGCCTTCTCCTCGTCACTGGCGAAGCACGCTGCTAGATGGTAGATGCCGAACAGCCTGAACAACACCGCTGCTGCCACCGCCACCACAGCACAGATGACGATCACCAACAGTGCCACGCCCCAGTCACTCATCCTTGTGCTAGCTCGCTCACTGTCTGGGAGCTGAAACAACCAACACAATAGTTTAAATATTTACTCTTTTCCATTATTGTACCCTTAAGCGCCACGAATTCAATATCTTTTCAACTATTATTCATATTAAAAAAGAAACAAATTCTGGCAAAAATAAATATCCAAAATAAGATGAAGGATCCGTCCCAACATAAAAATACTACTACTACTACTACTACTACTACTACTACTACTACTACTGCTGCTACTACTACTACTACTACTACTACTACTACTACTACTACTACTACTACTGCTACTACTACTACTACTACTACTTCTACTACTACTACTACTACTACTAATAATAATAATAATAATAATTCACATTCTCCGTTCTGGGTGGGTTTGATTAGGCAGCGAAAATTAATACATATATACAAAAGAGAGGTGACAGTAAGATAGGTAAAATATGCACATTCAGTTGTAGCATTAAAAAATTATGTTTTGAGTTTGGCAGATACTAGGTGCACGTTTGAAGCTGAAGGGAGTCCCATAGATAGGCACCAGCATAAGAGAAGGATCGAGCACCGAAGTTCTTTAGTCTGTATTTTTGTACACACAGGATATATTTGTATTATTCTAAATTATTCAAAATGATTACTTTGATGTAGTTATGGAAACAAATAAATCCGACTCAGATATTTTAGCCGATACTGTAACACACGCAATGTGTTTCCATTATGTGGAGTTAGCCTGTGTTAAACTGTTCATGTAAAATCGCCAAATGCTTATCATGAGCGTCATGGACACGGTGCAAACATCACAATAGGATGTTGCACAGAGAGCAGTACATCAGTAAACAGTTCCCTGTGAATATGTTGTGTGGAGTTAACCAACCACGTCGTTAGGCTTTCAGATATTACAGCAATTACGACTCTGGTTTGGCAGTAGCTTCCCCACAATGACCAACATCAGTGTTTGTGTTTCCGGGTTGGTAACCAAGGCCCTTTCATGCTATGTATTGATCTTGACCAAGCCGAGATTTGATGCTTTCTGCAACCAGGTGTTGGCAGGACATACTTTTAACACTCTTCATTATCATCACTATGACAATTGCTGTCACGAGGCATTGGTAATGTTGATAAGGTTATGGAAAACGAAAACGTGCACAACTATCGAAATACCATATCTTATAATCTTAACAACAAACATTTAAAGAACTGACCTTCTCCTTTGTTTTTTATTTATCTAAAGGAATATATTTATGCACACACATTGCCCCATTCGTCACTAATACTTTCCGATATACGAGAGAGAGTGGGGCGTGTTGCAGTTGAATACTTTAACTCTTGCCTACGAACTGGTAGAAGCGACAATGTCAGAAGCTACGTTGAAACATAGCTCTCATAACTGTAACATTTGAAATGTTAAACCTAATAAAACAAGCACGTTGTTCAATGTATTTCCACTTTTTTTAATTTAGATGATGGCAAAACCACTCCTAAGCATCATGCAATAGCCTAAGACTTTTGTTTTGATCACCTACCTGTCACCATTGATCATATCCCTTAAAAACGTGTGTGCTGATTCTCTACTTCTCTGATGTCACACGGGGATTGACGTCAAGCCTTTGCATGTAATAGCCAATGCATCATTTGTTCAATTCACCTTATTTTATGATTAACCCACAGCTGTATTTTGTTTCCATGGCTACATTATGCAAAACTTAGTTTTTGTCAGTGAAAAGTCATACAAGCAGATGATTAACTTGAGTAAGAGGCTCTTTTGATGAATGTGTCTAATTTAATTACTTATGGTGCAGTTGAAGGTCTCTTTTGTAATATGGTTGTAGTTTCCTGTGACACTCTCCTGTGACAGTTTGATGTGTTATGTTATGATGTGGGACAGGTTATAGGACAGAGCCATTGACGTGTTACATATTAACACAACCATGCTGATAATCTTTCACGGGTTCGTTAATATATGACATTTTGTAAATATCAGAGAGAGCCAATATTGAAAAGAGTTCTAATAAAGGGATTATCCCTCAGTCACCACAAGTGACACGGGTTTTGAACAGGAAAATAATTCTTATTATAAATTTCCAGAACTGTTGGGGGACAATCTTACTTCTAAAAGTAAAAACTGGCTCAATTTTCTGATCAAATACTTCAAATGCATTTGTGGCAGTTACATTGTATTTACGAATTAAGGAGAGCTTTGCTGCCTTGTGATGTCAAAGCACATGCATTTGTCCAAATCGTTTGAGGGCTTATCCCAGATATGTATATGCTTTAACAACTTCATTTCCCTACCGTTATATGACCACTTCTTACATATGCCCCGTTCGTAGTTGATAGAGATTCACTAACATATGTTCATGATATAGTCAGAGGATCGTACAGTGGATAATAAATATTTCTTCATGCCTTTGCTATGTTCCTCGGATTGTTTATTTTTGTTTCCACAATTTCAATAACTTTTAAAATGTTTTTTTTTGTTAGCAAGTTTCTGAAAACAGTTAAGAGATTATATATTATGTAGAAATGTAACAGCATTCATCATCAAACCACTCTGGTTGTACATATTATGTTTTTTTCTGAAAATAAATTTCATACAGGATCCTCAGTATCAAATATGTCAATGCATTTTAACGTTAGTATCGGTATCCACTTCGACTGTGTCTGTCAAACAATCAAGTTGTCTAACGATGATATATTGCCATTTGTGTTTCTCTTTTCCATTTACATAAAACTAACAAAATAATCAATATTTTCATTATCTAGTTGCATTTCGTGCTACAATGGTAGTGTACTAACAAGTTGAACATCGTCTGATTCTTTACGTAATTCAATCTTGAATGTTTAATTATAATTAACTAAAAAGTAGTCAAATAATTAATATGCTTTATCCAGTACTTCGATCATTTTCTCAACCTGAATTTCCTTCCTCACAACAGTATAAGTTTACCAAACAAAACACAGGTTGGGATGATATCTAATATTGTAATACTTTCTCACTAATTATTCACAAATGATTTCCTGAAACCAAACAAGCTATAATTTCATTTTGGACAGAGATACAGGACATATTTGACTATCTCTCTTATAGAATGCCCTGATAAAATATCTGTTGAGGTGCAACGATAAAACTGTTTTCCTACTGATCCTGCCATTGACTCAATGTCATCGACACACTGAAGGCATTTCCACATTTTCATGTAATATAGTATTTGATCTTTTAATTTGTGCTAAATGTGGTTATGAAATGAAATATTTATCCAAGGTATCATAATAACCATTCGATGAGTATGAAAATCAAAGAGTAAATTTTCAAAAGTAATTTAGATAACTAAACTGAATCCAAATTCAATGGCTTTCTTAATCTAAACCATTTGCTCACGCAATTTGAAAATGTTAATCAGCACATTGGCAATAAAATAAATCAAGCTCTCTCAAATGTTAACAAAAGCCTGACATTAAGAGTAATGTCCTTTTTCAAATAGCACTCTGGGTTCACTGCACACACGACTAATATTTGAAAAGAGGATGAAAGCACTGATCAGCTAACCCAATATTACCAGGATACATGGGAGAACCAAAATAGGTTACCCCTGATACATCCTTGTTTATTACTTGACACCATCTCCAGAATGTGTCAATGATATTGAAAGAGGTATTTGATGAAAAATCGATTACCCCTGAGTAAATGTCATGGCCATGGCGCTGAAGGAAATTGCTTATGGGTGTCTCTTCTGAAACAGGAGTAGGCACAATCCTATCAGTTCTTCACAATCTTAAGGCATGTATTTCATGGATCGAATTACATTGTTGAGAATTAATGTAATTCGAGTAAGAGCTCCAACGAGTCTTAAAGAGTACAGGTTTAATATCTGCTCGATATCTTAGTATCTTTGGACACATTTGCTGTTGCTTCAGTCCAAGTATGCTTAACTTAGTTCAGGTAATTGACTTGCCTTTGTATGTGTTTGTGCCACCGGTAGGACAAGATGTGCTCACATCTTCTTGAAAACCTGGTATCTTCACGAAATGATAGTGATTCATAAATACATGCTTTTGATATAGTCGTACAATGGACTCAGCTTTTAGCACCGATTTCTTATGAGTATGAAAATTTGTTGTCTCTTTTATTTACTGATCAGTGTGCCTTACCTCACAAACTAATGGGTAAACGTTATGGGATAATGAAAATGACGAATAACATTGTGACTGCACATTTAATAGTGCCGTTATTTATAAAGATTCATAATTGTTGAACATACCTTTTTCAATCATATATACACTGCTCTTGCATTTTGTTTGTACATGAAGGATTCACCTTTATTCTTCATACACATTTTCTTTTATTTTCAGAAGGCAAATGGATGTCTGGTATCTTCAATCAATGTTTATTCATGACGTAGTGGAGGCCACAGGCCCATTCTACAGTTGCATCATTGCTTGAGAGAGTAACAGCATATATACATTGGGTTCATTGATATTCATTGTTCACCCAAATGGTTTTCTTAGTTGCATTTACAGTTTCTGGATTTTTTTTGAAGAAACATTGGTAAGTTATGTTGGATAGGATATAAGCAGTATTTTGGGATACTGAGATTGTCATAAACATAATATTGATAGACATAATGATTTATTACCAAATGCTTAGGACACCATCGGAATCGTACAATGGATCTTTTATTGGAAATTTCTTATGATTTTGGAAGGAGTTTCATCATTATAGGAAATTCGTCATATGTACGTAATGTTATTACGATGGCATAAAGCATTTCTGCGTTGGTGTTGATTTTGTAATCTTCTTTTCTTCGTGTGGTGTTATTCAGGGTTCGAACTGGGTAGGTCCATGCTCATGATATCGATCACTGGATTGTCTGGTTCAGACTCGATTATTTACAGACTGCCGTCGTGTAGCTGAACTATTGCGGAATTCGCCGTTAAACACAAACAAACACTCGAACCAAACAGTGATCTGAACCAACATATTTCGTTTTTGTATTTTCATTTGTAGCTAAACTGTTATGTTTCATG